TTTGTCATTTGCAACAATATAGATGGACCTAGAGAGACAGAGAAACACAAACACTGTATATTTCACTCATATATGGAATCTAATAAATAATACAAATGAATAAACAAAACAACACAGAAAGATACTAATACATACAGAAGACAAATTGATGGTTGCCAGAGAAGAAGGAGTGGAGGAATGAGTGGAAAATGTAAAGGGGAAGCCCTAGCTGGTTTGGCTCAGTGGATAGAGCATTGGCCTGTGGACTGAAGGGTCCCAGGTTCAATTCCAGTCAAGGGCACATGCCTGGGTTGCAGGCTTGATCCCCAGTAGGGTGCATGCAGGAGGCAGTTGATCAATGATTATCTCTCATCATTGATGTTTCTATCTCTCTCTCCCTTTCCCTTCCTCTCTGAAATCAATTATATATATTTAAAAAGAGAATATGTGAAGGGAAATAAGAGGTACAAACTTTCGGTTATAAAAAATAAGCTATGGGGATGTAAAGTACAGCATAGGGATATAGTCAATAACACTGTAATAACTTTGCAAAGCTCACACCTTGAAGGGTTTTGAGTATCATATTAAATAACATAAATTTACCATTTTAACTATTTTTAAGTGCATAATTCAGTGGCATTAAATACAGTCATAAGATTATATAACCATCACCACCATCTATTTCCACAACCTTTTCATTAATTCAAACATTCTGCATCTATTAAACAATAACTCCCCATTGTCCTCTCCTCCCAGCCTTCTACCTGTATGAATTTGCCTAATTTTGGTACTTTATATAAATAGAATCACAATATTTATTCTTTTTTTCTGATTGAAAAAAATATTTTTGTTGTTGTTAATCCTTACCTGAGGATATTTTCCCCAGTGATTTTGAGAAAGAGAGAGAGAAAGAGAGAGAGAGAAAGAGGGAGAAACATGGATCAGCACCAGAGATCGAGCCCTAGGCATATGCCTTGATTGGGAATAGAACTGGGGACCTTGGACAGGTCCAATATTTGTTCTTTTGTGTCTGGCTTTTTTCACTTAGTATAATGTTTTCAAGGTTCGTTCATGTGGTAGCATGCATCAGGATTCCATTCCTTTTTATGGCTGATGATATTTGAGTTTATTAATTCATTTGTCCAAAAAAATATTTATTGAGCATTTTGTTTAGGCTCAAGCACTGTTCTAGGCATTATTGATATAGCAATGAAAAAAATTATACAAATAAACAAGTGAATATATTGTATGTCAGATGGCAATAAGTGGAAAACCAATATTGTAGTGATAGCTGTATAGAAAAGGAGATCTTAGAGGTAGGGTGGGACCATTCACATAGTGCCTTGAGGGCTAGTGTAAGAACTTTGGATTTTACTCTGAAATAAGAAGCCAATAGAAAGTTTGAAGTTGTAGAGTGCCATCATCTGACCTATGTTTTGAAGGCTACGTCTGGCTTCAGTATTGAGACTGTACTACAAGGGAGAATGAGGCAAAGGAGGAGAAGAAGTACCAGTTATGAGGCTATCCTAATAGTCCAGGTAAAAGATGATAAAACCTATAATAGAGTGTATTAGTCAAGGTTCTCCAGAGAACCAGAACAAATAGAATATACTGGAGGCTGGCAAGTCTGAAATCTGTAGGGCAAGTCAGGAGGTTGAACACTCAGTTGGGGTTTCCATGTTTCAGTCTTGTCGCCAAATACCTTTTGAGGGAGAATCTATCCCATGCCTCTTCCTGGCTTTTGGTGTTGCTGGCAATCTTTGACATCCCTTCCCCTGTAGATGCACCACTGTGACCTCTGCCTCCACTTTCACATGTACATGTCTGTGTTTAAATTTCCCCCCTTTTTTTAAGGACACCAGTCATGCTAGATTAGAGGCCCATTGTACTCCATTAAGGATGCTTCCTTTAAGAAATGGTACTATTTAGGAGTAAATGAAAACTTTCAATGTGCCTTTCAAGGGATGAGATTTTGTTTGTATTGATTTGGGGCATTGTGATTTTTCTGCTTTGCATGGTTCAATAGCCAACATGATTAAGCAGGGAAGCGAACATTCCATCAGAATAAAGTATTCCCTAAGTCATTTGATCCCTAAGCACCAGTGCTTTCAGGGACACAGATTCCAAGATGATTCCTTTTTCTTTTCTTTCTTTCTTTTTTTTTGTAGCTAATATCTTTGAAATCCTCAGACTGTCATCTAGAATCGAGAGGCCTAAAAGAAAGGAAAGATCAGCATCGAGGGCAGATGAAGGTCTTTCCTCAGATAGATTTGCTCAGGTAGGACTTTGTGGCTGCATTAATACGGTGTAGCTCTGCCCTTGCTAGAAGGGCCAAAAGAAGTAAATGGATTGTCACACCCCCACTAATTAGAGCCAGAATAGGGGAGAGGCTGCTGATCTCGAGGGGAAAGATCAATCTAGGGAAGGGTGAAAGGAGAATGTCTCCTGAAGAGTAAAGGAGCCCGCGCTTTGGGTTTCTGGGACTGAGTCTGGGATTGTAATTCTGCCTGGACATTTCCTCCATCTCCCTCACTAGTGTCTCTGTCTTGAAGCGCAGGACCGAAACAAAATGCCTAATGAAGCATGGGAAGAAGGGGGGGGGGGCGGTGTTTGCAAATGTCTTAGAAAGAAGGGCTGGGGCAAGAGGAGAAGAGAGGAGTCAGAATACAGGTTCACACATTTTCACAAAACCATTTGGAAACAGAGATGGAGACGCAAATTCAGGGACCCGCGAAAGGCCCAGGAAGGTTTGGTGGAGGCGGGCGTGTGTAGGAGAAGTGTGCCTGCCGCTCACTTTCAGCGTTTTCTGCTTTCTCCAAGCCCTTGCGTGATGGCCGGTCAGGAAGGTCGTGGGAAGGCTCAGTCAAGCTCTGAGTCGCCGGGGAATGAGCTGATCCTCTCTTAACTTCCTTGGCTTAGAGTCGCCCGATGCCCACCTCACTGAGGTTAGTGAGGCCGCGTGGCACAGCGCTCAGGCGAGGCACTCACAGCTACTGCCGCCGGCCTGCCACCCTCACATCCGCCACCCCAAACCCCGCAGGTGCGCACCAGGTTAGCCGCGACCCGCCCAGGTCCAGCGGCCCCAAAGCAGCCGAGCTCGTTTGGGGTCAGCTGACCCCCACCCCAAACCCCAGCCAAAGGGGCGAATCCCTTGTCCTCCTGAGATGAACGCTGGGCACCAAGGCAGGCTCTGAGACATTTTCGGAATCGCTCTTGTCCCGCCTCCGGAGCTCCCAGCAACAACCGCTAAAATAAAAGTGCCATGCCAGAAAGCGGGGGAGGGGATGAGAAGAATGAAAATACTAGGAGAACGACCTCATTCTCCAGGAAAAAGTAATGAGGGGAAATCAAACAGTATGGACTTACTCGGAAATGCAAACCGAGCTCCAATCTCTCCCAGGGCGCATACAAACGAACTAAAGACAAATCAGCCAACGCGCTAGGCAGCTTCCCAGAAAGGGCCTCATGAATGAGAATGGGTTGCTAGGTTTCCTCCCTCTCTCTTGACAATCGCTCCCCACAAAACTTCCACCAAGGAAAGAAAACATGGGGGACTTGGCGACTGCAGAGCGGTGGAAACGCGCCAAGCCGTCTTCAGGACCCTGGAGAGCGGCCGCTGTGCCCTCGCCACGCCACGCGCGCCTGGTCCCCTCGCGCGAGCCCAGCCTTCCTGTCACTTTTATTCCCTGCTTCCCTCCTCCACCTCCATTTTTCTTGGCAAGGGCCACTCCAGCTTTTCACAATCAGATTAAAGTGCCTTTTTGTTTTGCTTGAGGAGGCTGTTTGGATTGGCTGAGCTAGATTCCGGTTTGAAACTTCACTAAATGTCAGTGGACCAAGAAGTCCTGAGAGCTTTTCAAAAATTAGAGCCTAGATAAGGCAGGTGATGTTAAAAAAAACCTCCCAGTTCAATCCCTTTGCTTTATAAATGAACCAGATAGTCTCAAAGAGTAAAGAGACTTTCCCAAGGTGAGCCTTGGTCAAGTTGGTTGCAAGTCTGAGCCCAGGACCCTGGACTTCTAACTTCTAAATTAACGCTTCCCTCTACTTTCCAAGGGGGAAAAAAGTAAGGATCTTATCTTCACCCTGGCTGCTTAGGTCTCCTAAGCAACAAGTGGAAGGTGGAAAGGCCTGTGTTCCGGAGAATAAGATGGACACACAAAGTGTGTGAAGAGTACCTGCAGCGTGTACACCTAAGGGACCCAACACAGGTCTGGTCTGCCATCCCACCGACCCCACCCAGCACAACCAGAGTCAGTTCAGCCAAGCCCTTTCTCCCTCCAGCATGAGATGGATCTGGAATCCCAGACACCTCTCCCAATGGAAATTGGTAACCAATTCCACCTCTGTACCTCTGGAGGGTAGAGTTCTACACGGCAAAGGACAGAGAAAGAGAGGGGATGAGAGATAGAAGAGCAAGAGTTGCAAAAGTGAACTAGGAGATTTTCACCCAAATTCTAAAGAATCAAGAGATGTGCACACAGACCCTTCCATACACTGCATTTCACATTTACTGAACCTTCTGAGAATGTTAATGATGCAGTAGGTCTGGTAGAGTCCACGATTCTGCATTTTTAACGATTCTGCATTTTTAACAAGTCCTTGTTAGCGAAGCTGCTGCTCCAAGGACCACACTTTGAATAGTGCAGAGTTAGAAAGAGGGGAGGAGGGAGAGAGGGAAGTGAAGAAAGAGGGAAGAAAGTGGGGAAAGGAAAGTAAGGGGAAAGACCTTTCCTTTTGCTCTCGCCAACCTTCTCTAGCATCCCCAAAGTAATCCTATCTAATAAAGAGCTAATATGCTAATTAGACCGAACAGCCGAAGGACCTACCAGTCGTCCTTCCAGACGAAGCCGGGGCTGCGAGGGCCAAGCCCCTTGCACGAATTTCGTGCAACGGGCCTCTAGTGCTGTAATAAATGGCACCCAGTGCACGTTTTCTCCAGTCTGTATTTGGCTGGGCCCATCAGTAATGGTGTGCTGGTTTTGTTTCCTTCCCCCACCTCTCGCTCTTCCCTTCTCCGGCCCTGCACAGATCCCAGATTCACCCGCTGCCCCGAAGCTGCTCAGCCTCCTTTCTAGCACGCTCTCCAACCTCGCGCGGCTCTTCTCTCACCTGCTCCGGAGACCCCCTCCTGAGGCTCTCCAGCGGCGCCCAGACTTCTCTCTCCTGCTTCCCTCCCTGCCAGCCGCTGGACTCGCTCCAGGGCGCGAGGAGCGGCGGGGCCGCCTCTCGCTCCTGCTCGGGGCAGCTCTGACACTGCCTGGCCGACCCTCAGGGGGACGCTCGCCCCGGGAAGAGGATGCCAGCGCTGGGCAGCGCTCGTCCATGCCCGTGAGTACCGATGACTCCACCGTGCCCAACCCTGGCCTCATCCCCAGCTCCTTCCTAACCCCCACTGAGCCACTCCACGAGGGTCCAACAGGGGCTCCGGCCAGGCCAGCAAGCAAAGACAGGCTAAGCATGTTCCAGGAAAAGTCGCCGGTGACTCGCCTGACACCCCTCCCTTCAGGAAACCCTCGGAGCTACTTTTTTCTGGGCCATTTACTTCCAGGGTCCTTGGAAGCGGGAGGAAGCCCTGATCCTTCCTGAGGCTGCTTCTCAAACTCTGGTTCTCTGCGCGTCGCTTTCCTCCCCCTCCTCCCAGCCTCCCTCAAAGGGGCCTCCGCCCCCTTCTTGCAAGCCCACTCCCCTGCCCTCCGGCTGCTGCGGGCTGGAGAGGCCGGGGAGGAAATGACGTGATGCTATATTTGTGTCAGGTCAGCTACCAGCTTCAGTTTAGCCCTTGGAGCTCGGGCGCACGGCCCCGGCAGCCCAACTGCATCTCGCTCCCGAGGGCAACCTGGGGACTATAGGGACGCTCGGCGATCCGTGCCCGCAGAGCTGGCGACAAGGTTCCTCCTCCGCTCTCTGGCCCCCACCCCGCCCTTATCCCGGATTCTCGAGTCCCCTGGGAACGGAGGGAGGCTGCGGGTGGTCTCGGCAGGATCCGGAGCCGGGAGATAGCCCTTCCTGCCGTCGTTCCCCCGCCCCCCCCCCCCCGCCAACAATAGGTGGGGCCTCTGGCTCCCGCTAGCCGAGAGTGGGCGAGGAGACCCCTTCCCAGCGCGGGTGGGACAGCTAGAGACTGCACCGAGATGGAGAGCTCCAAGGAGCACCCTGGGAAAGGGAGAAGGTAGGAGGCTGCCCTCCAGAGGCAGGGCAATCCACCGCAAGATTTTCCAGGGACTGAGCAATCCCTCCTAGTGCGGCGCATCCCCAGCACACGCACCTCTCTCTCTCTGCCCTCTTCATTCACAACGTTGGAGCAGGCATCCCGCACGCTGGGGTCTCGCTGGGCCTTTGCGCGCCGAAGCGTAGGGATCACAGAGGGGGACTCTGCTAATACCCTCGGCGCCCGCCTTGCTTCGCACCCACACTCTCATCACTTCCCAATACCGGGCTAAAGGACGGAGGCTACGGTCCGCGGAGCGAGCGGCCGCCAGAGGGAGGTGGTGAGACCTGGGATTACCCGCTGGGGAAGGAGGCAGAGCCAAGAGAGGGAGAGGGAGGGAGAAGTGGGCGAGAGGAAAGACCCAGAGCCAGAGGAAGAGGAAAGCCAGAGAGAGCAGTCGCGAACGTGGAAAGGACATCGTTTGGTATTATTTAAATAAGAATAATAGTAGTAGTAATAATAGGCCCGGCCGACCGAGGCGAGCCTGCCGGAGCTTCCCCTCGGGCTCTCCAGGCGGAAGGTGGAATCGTGAGTATCCAGCCTCCTAAACCTCCCGTCTACCTCTCGGGCTCGCCCTAAGACCTCGGGCCGGGAAGTGGCCCTGGCCAAGCCGGGCGCGCGGGCCAACACCTGGAGCGCTCAGCCTGGCCACATGGCGCGAGCGGGTGCGGGTCGGTCGCCTACTCCGCGGGTACAGCCGGGCTCAATAGTCAGCGCGTATTGGGGAGGTGTGTGGCTTTAGGGTGTGCCGGTGTCTCGAGGGGGGAAGTCTAGCCACCCGAATCAAGTTCCATCGGGTCTGCCTGGGCGTAAGCCGTTTTCAGCCTCTTATGGCCTGGGGTCAGTGAGTGGGTGCGGGGCGCGGCGCCTGGCCCTTGAGGCCTAAATGCATATGGGCACCCGCAGTGTCTTTAGGAAACTCCAGGCGGGTGGAAACGTGGGCGTTCTCCCCGGACAGCGAGGACTGGGAAGGGGCCGGGAGCCGGAGGCGGGCTGGTTGAGCGCAGGTGGAAGGGAAGAGGAGACACTCCCTGAATCGCAGAACCTCCCTTTAGGGGAAGCGCAACCCGAGGAGCAGAGCCAGGAAAGGGCCCCCGCACACGGACCCGGGTGGGTGTGACTCGGGGTCCGCATTGACGCTCTTGAACCCGCGCCTAGGCGTTTTAGGAGCGGGTGTCGCGGGTGTATTTCTTGAACAAACTCGGGTAACTGACTCTTGGAGTTGCTCTTAGGAAGTTGGAACGAGCCTGGGTGTCCAGGCTTGGAGACTGGAAGGGGTGGTGGGGGAGAGAGGGACCTAAGGAAAAGTGGCGCTCTGGGAGGAAGGTGGGCTTCTGGGGGTCGGTGGGCGCTGACTTCCCTGCCACTATTGCAGGGGGAGGGGCCTGGGAAGAGGCGGTGCGCCCGGCGGGGTGGGCGTTTGCCGGGGGAGGTCTGGGTGCCCGCCATCCCCCCGCGTTTGGGGGAGTGGGCGGGGAAAGGGCCTCGCGGGAGGCGGCGCGCGTGTCGGGAGGAGAACCCAGGCGAGTAGCCAGGACCCGCGAGCTACCCCAGCGGCGGGCGGGGCGCGGAGGAGAGGAATGCCCGCAGCTAGGAGAGGAGGCGTTGCCTGGGATCCCGGGGTGCTGCTACCGCAGCCGCACCACCTGCGACCCACTGGCTGGAGGAGTGACCGCGAATACAGTTTCTATCAGGGAGAAAGAGAGCGTCTCCTCACATCCTTTGCTTCTCAGCATCGGGCGGAGGCCAATTGCTCTTTGTCCACCTCCTCTCGCCCACTGGGTAGCAGAAGCAGTTACTTGCCCACTGAGACTTAGCACTGCCGGGCGAGTGTGGCGAGCAGGGAGCTCCTGCACCATTTTCCAGTCGCCGTCCTGTGGTCAGCCCTCCTCCTGGGGGCACAGTCGTACATGGGGCCTTCATTTCACTTCTAGGGGTTCCAGATTGTGGAATTAACTAAACAACCGTCCGCGTTCACAAAAGAGCCTGAATCCCTCCCAGGACTTGGTAAGGACGCGTGTAATAAAATGACTCTGTAAAGTCTTACTTTTTGCTCATAGCCTAATTTTATACGGGGCTTCATCCTGTTTATCTTCTGTTCATTAAGTGGCATCTTTGGTGTCACATATCAGCAACTCATATGAGAGGCAATACTACCTAATGGGTAAGAGTCCTGGCTGTGTGATTGGTTTCAAATTCCAGCCTAGCTGTGTGACCTTAGGCAAGTTACTTAACCTCTAGATGCCTTAGTTTTGTCATCAGCAAACTGGGGATAATAAAAGTTCCTACCTCATAGGGTAGCTGCCAGAATTCAGTAAATTAATATAGTAGAATTCTGGTATATACCAAACACAAGCTTTTATTACTATTATTATGTTGATGCTAAATTAGCCAAGTAAACTTCAAAATATAAAAATGAGAAGGGGAACATGCATATAATGAAGTGGATGTCCATCATGAAAATTAGACAAAACAGTAAATACTTTCTATGTCAGAATCTAAATTTAAAAACAATGCATTTCTACATCTTCTGGAACCTTTTCTTTTAAATAATTATGAAATATTTCCATATAAGGTTTAAACATCATTTTAAGAAAATTATCTCTAACCTTGAATATATTTCACTTTGTAAAAACAGATATGCATAAAAAATACACATTAGGACATGGTCTATACCAAAACCCAACATCTACATGAAAATATTGTACCTTCGGAGCTAGGTATATCTCTAAGATCATTTCAAACATTTTAGCCAAAATGCCCTTGTTATCAAGAATACCGCCTGGCCTGCATGGCTCAGTGGTTGAGCATAGACCTATTAACCAGGAGGTCATGGTTCGATTCCAGGTCAGGGCACATTCCTGGGTTGCAGGCTGGATCCTCAATCTGAGGCAGCCAATCATTGATGTTTCCATCTCTCTTTCCCTCTCCCTTCCTCTCTGCAATCACTAAAACTATATTTTAAAAAAAAGAATACCGAATGATAAAAGTCAGGTTACTAATTTCACCTCCTTCACTTTACACATGAGGAAACATTCAGAAAGGTCAAGGGCCCAGGCCAGAGATTTCCAGCTAAATGGGGGCTGAAACAGCATTAGAATTAGGTCTTCTGAGTCACTCCCCAGGGCTCTTCAGCACCACACTGATGATTTCCTACAAAACTGATGAACTTTTAGCAAATAGGAAATCAGAGGTATTATATAAGGGAAAATATACAAACATATGTTATCTCCAACATAAGTGAGACCAGGCAGTGATGTGGCTACTGTTGTCCCACAGCTTCCTCATGGTCCCTCACAGCAGAAGATGTGACCGCATGACTTGCCTAAGGTAAGCTAAGGTCAAGCTAGAGGCAGAGCCAGCGTTAGAATTTAAGGTCTCACTGGAATATACATTTGGTTGCATATTCTATTAATCCCTTGTAACAGTTTTACATTTAAAAAATTTTTTTTGAGCTTTTCTTAAAATTTTAAAATCTCCTTCCTACTGGCTTAGAAGGTCTTTCCTGTAAAAAGCTTTTTAGGAAAGGTCTTCAAAATTATAAAGAAGGAGATTTTATTATTCCAGATTTTGTGGACAAGCAAGAGTGAACATGAAAAAAACTTTCTTATTTTAGAGCAACAACCTGGTTACTGGTTTCATTCCAAGCACTTGAATAGCAGTTTCTTTAATCCTAGTGTTCTTTCATTCCTGCATGTGGCAGTGACATTCACCTAACACAGACAGATGCAGTGGCTTAAAGGTCCAAGCCCTCACATGAGCAGTTCAGGAATTCCATGGCAGAGCCTTTCAAGTGAGTATGTGGTTTTGCAAAGTTATTTATAGGAATGGTGTCTTCCAGAAAAGGCATTTCTAGGAACTGTGCCTGCATCCTTGAAGCAGGAAACCTTGATTTTTCTTTAGTGCATAAACTGGATGTCTTATCCTTGACTTTGTATCTCTGTATACCCACCACATGTTCCTAGACAGAAATGCAGGGCATTAAATGGGGAGTGACTTTCTAGCATGCTCCCAAGCCAGTTCAGCAGAATGGAGTTTTGAAATTATGTGTGTTAAGTCAGGCCCCAAAATGATTATAATGTGAATCACTGTCCAGTTGGGAATATTGTGGATTGGTTTT